TTTAAAAAGCTCATGTGTAACCAGGGAGAGGGCTCTGCAGGTAAAAGCACTTACCACACAACCTTGACAAACTGAATTCAAAGTCCCTGTACCATGCAAAATGTCAGATTCAGTAGAATGTCTTCAATACCAGATAGTGAAAAGGGAGGCAGAGAGAAAAATCCTCTGGAAGCTTCAAGATCAGTTAGCCTGAAGTACATAGATAAGGGAAACAACAAATAGAGCCTAGCTCTAACAAGGTGGAAGGCAAGAACTGGCATTCAAGGTTGTGCTCTGCATGGCTGGTGTTGTACCTGGGCACCTTCATACAGGAACTTGTACACACAGGTACAAACTATACTCACACATTCATAAAGATTTTAAAAAAACATAAAATAACTCATGTAGTGGTAAGATATCACAATCACAACATGTATTAACATTTACAATCTGTATGACTACACAGGAAACCTGAAAAATAAGACACCAGAACTCACAAAACATGTATTTGGTAAGAGGCAGAGTGACAAAGGTGCAGTAAATAAATCATAACTCAGGACCCTGCCTCAATCATACCGTCAACTCTATACTAAGTAGTTTTGTAAGTTAAATTACCCATTTTGTCTATTTTCAAATGTATAAAAAGCATTCATAGATTGTACTGGCTGATTTTGTGTGTCAACTTGACAAAACCTAGAGTCATTAGAGGAAGGAGCCTCAGTTGAGGAAATGCCTCCATGAGATCCAATTGTAGGGCATTTTCTCAATTAGTGCTCAATGGGGGAGGGCTCAGATCATGATGGGTGATACTATCTCTGGGCTGGCAATTCTGGGTTCTATAAGAAAGCAGAGTGGGTGCCTGTTTCCACTTTGAACAGCTACTGGGTGAAAGCTCTAGGAATGGAAACCAAGGTATTCAATCACATTATAGGGGAAGGGCATCAAAGGCAGCCTCTCCACCACTGCCTAGATTATTAGTTGGGGTCATCCCTGGGGATCCCCTAACATTTCTCCTGTGCCAGACCTCTCTCCAAACCTGTACTGGTACACACAGCTAAACACTGAGCCACACTCCTGGAATCCAGTTGTGGAGAGGGAGTTGGGATGAGCAAAGGAGCCAAGACTGTGCTCGAAAACCCGGAGAAACAGTAGACCTGACCTAATGAGAGCATGTAGACGCTAGTTGTAAAGCTGGGGAACTAGCATTGGAACTAACCAAGCCCTCTGAATGTGGGTTCCAGCTAGGAGGCCAAAGCAGTCTATGGGACTTCTAACAGTGGAGCCAGTGTTTATCCCTAGAGCACTTTGGGAGCCCATTCCCTATGGAGGGATACTGTTGCATCCCTCCATAGGACCTAGGCCCTCCCCCAAATGATGTGATGGACTTTGATGGTCCCCAATAGAGGGCCTCACTATCCTTGGGGAGTGGGTGGGGGGGTGGGTTGGGGAGTTGGTGGGGAGAATGGGAGGATGGGAGGCCGAGGTAATGGGGGATAGCTATGTTAATAAGAGTACTTCTATAATAAAAAAAAAAAAAGTTAAAAAAACAAAAAGAAAGAAAAAGAAAGAAAGAAAGAAAGAAAGAAAGAAAGAAAGAAAGAAAGCAAGCACAGTGAACAAGCCAGAGCAACCAAGCCAATAAGCAGCCTGCCCTCCTAGGCCTCTGCATTAGCTCCTGTCTCCAGGATCTTTCCCTAATTGAGTTCTGGTCCTACTTCCTTTGGTGATGAACACCAATGTGGAAGTATAAGCCAAATAAAACTTTTCACGGTCATGGTGTTTCATTTCAGCTACAGAAATCCTAACTATGCTGGGCAGTGGTGGTGCACGCTTTTAACTGCAGCACTTTGGAGGCAGAGGCAGGCAGATCTCTGTGAGTTTAAGATCAGCCTGGTCAACACAGCTAGTTCCAGGACCACTGGGGCTGTTACACAGAGAAAATTGTCTCAAAATAAAAAAGAAAGAAAGAAAAATATTTTCCCATTTTTACTCAATCCATGCTATATATTTTTAATTACTAAAATTTGTGATTTAATGTGCCCAGTGTCTATCCATTTCAGTATTTCAAACAACTACTTTCTGTTCATCTATATTACATAAACACGTTTAATTTCACTATTTTCTACTGCTGCTGTTGCTTTTTTCCAGTTTACATCTAAATCCAACCAAGAGATACTCTTTCTTAGATTATAAGGTTTGAAAGGCCCTGCATATACCAACTAAAAACATATATATAATAAAACTCAATCTTTAAAACATGGTATGGATGTGAATGTAACTCAAACCATGACACAGAGTAGATCTTTATAATCAATTCTACATTTTGGTATGTTATGTTTTCCCCTTTGATACCTGAATTAACCACAATTATGCTTTCACATGTTCTAATTCATAGGCTCTTCAGGAATATTTGTTCATAAGCTCGTTCCTATATATATTTTACAACAGTTCATCTGAAAGGGGATGTTCATTTGTATGAGGCTATTCCCAGCCAGCTGTATCTATGTAGAGCAGCTGCCCACAGAAGCAGAAAACTGCATACATCAGCATTAGGAAACAGGACAGAGAACAAGAAAGGTATAAGGATCATGGCTAGGGAACTAATTCTGCTACAATATTCCCCAGAATGCCCTTCCTGTGTCTCATTCTTTCACCACTTTCTTCATACCAAAAATGGCAAGCAGTAGTGTTGTATGGCTTTCCCCAAGATCTGTTAAGTCTTAAAGAGTCTTTTAAAAGTCAATAGTAAAAGCTCTCAGGAATAAGAAATTTTGGTATGTTGGTGTACTGTAGAAATATGGGCACTAATATATAATCAAAAATATTCTGAGTGCCGGGCGTTGGTGGCACACGCCTTTAATCCCAGCCCTCAGGAGGCAGAGGGAGGTGGATCTCTGCAAGTTCCAGACCAGCTTGGTCTACAAGAGCTAGCTCCAGGACAACCTCCAAAGCCACAGAGAAACCCTGTCTCAAAAAAAAAAAAAAAAAAAAAAAAAAAAAAAAAAAAAAAAAGGTTTAAACAGATATGGCTAATGTAATTTAAAGATCATGACAGATAATTTTCATTGTCAACTGTGTTGGATTAAGAAAGGTCAAGGGCACTAACCAGGCACACTTTTGGGTATTCCCAAACAGGTTTAACTGAGGAAGGAAGACTCATCCAAAGTAAGGTGGCATTATCCAATGGGAAGGGAAAGCCAGGATACCACTGGTGATGTCCTGTCTGATTCCTGCTAAGCACCATGAACCCAACTACCAACTCAACTACTATGCTTTGCCATGTTGATCTGTTCTTTTCTTAAATGGGAAACAAAATTAACCCTTCCTTTCTGACGTTTTCTGTCCTGCATTTGGTCATAGAGAGTAGAAAACTATCACAATAGCACATGAAACATATATCAAAACATTATGATACCAGATGAACATATTAAGTGCTATGTTCATGTTTCTATGTACAATTTAAAGAAAGAAACAAAATGAATGATATTTTTGAAAGAAATAGATAAAACTATAATGACAGCCAGAGATTTCAATACTCTTTCAAAGAAATGTGGAAGATGAGAAGAGAGGGAAGGAACACAAACTATCCCTTTAGCTTATAGATGAGATATATATATATTAGACATTAGCATATCTTAATTGAATAGGTTTCATTATGACATTCTCTCCCATGTACATGCTTTGATTTTACATACAACTCTCACCTATATTAAACCCATGCCAACTACTGCTGGTTTGCTTCCTTCTCCCTATTCCCTATGTCTATGCTAAAATGTAGCAACTAACTTATTTATTGCCTTTATGAAATTACCCAATACTTCAGAAACAGTTAACCCATTTGCTAGAACATTCCCCACTGGACGTCCTCAAGATTTCTTGTGAGTGAGCCAATACAGGGAAATTAGTTGTATTTTACAAAGCATTTTTACATCTTTTCAAAGATAAAAGGTGTTTTAAGAGACTGTCACTAAACTGTGAACAATGAAAATGTAATGTAGACCTATACAGCCTTTCATCAGCCTCTTGTGACAATCCTCACACTTGGGAGCAATCACAACTATAGTCAAATGTCTAAGCAGATAGGCAGCTCTCCTCTCCCCTAATAGAATATAAAAAGTAAATAAACTGCTTTACAGAAAAGGACTCCAGAAGACATCTACTTAACTGTAATTTGTCATCATATAGGGAATGACCAACCTTAACTGCAAAGAACATTCAGAAAATTTGCCAAAAGAGATTGACATCATCATGAAAACCTTAGGTCAAAAATGCTTCACTCCTAGAGCTTGCTTGATGTACAGCCACCCGAAATAAAACTGTGATTCTGTTGATAAAGAAGAAAGGCTAGTAAGTGGCAACAATCAGTCCCTACTACATTAGCTCACACAGACCAACAAATAGAATTACAAGCATGTAAGAGGATGAAAACAGGACTTACAATAGCAATGATGATGTCTGTTCTGTAACAATACTACAAAACGAAAAATGAATCAAATTTCCTTGATGTTAGTCCAGGATATATTCCAAGAAAGTAGAGATACTTAATCCTTCTAACTCGTTTCATAAAAATGAAAAGTAATCTTTCTCCAACAACCTATCTGCTTCAGCTAGATTCATATCATCCAGGTACTCCTCACCACTACTACACCAACACAGTCCTACAGACAGGAATACAGAAGAGTAAGAACACTACATACAGGAACTACTATCAGATAAGTCTTCCACTACTTAGCAATCAGGAAAAACATAAGAGGGCAATAGGAGCAGGAGAGTATAACCACAATATACTGGATAAATGTACAAAATTGTAAAATGCAAAAAAGAAAACAAAAATGAAAAGAAGAGACCTCCAAGGTATCCACATTACCTACTCTCTCCCTGAAATGTAATCAGTACCTACTTCTCAAAATTTTCTGTTTCATAACGTTCTTTCTATCCTCCAAGTCCAGTCAGGGAAATTCTAGAAGACACTGAAGCAATACGCTAATAGTATGTTAGAAACAAAATACAGGCCACATTACCTGTAGTGCTCGCTGCTGGGAATACTCTGTGAGAAGTATAAAGCTGCTGTCCGTGCTCTCCAATGCCATTTCTTTGCAGGAAGGGTGTAGAGTACACAATTATCCAATTCTTCTTGGAGCAGCTCTACCAGCTGCCGATGGGAGCCTCCGTAAAATGCCTCGATGATGAGAATACTCATTGGCCTTTTCAAACCTTTGGACTTAACAAAATAAATTATATAGATACATATGTGTGTGTTCTTCCAATGCATACATACAATTCTAATAAGAGCATACTTCAGCCGGGCGTTGGTGGCGCACACCTTTAATCCCAGCACTCAGGAGGCAGAGGCAGGCAAATCTCTGTGAGTTCAAGGCCAGCCTAATCTCCAGAGCGAGTGCCAGGATAGGCTCCAAAGCTACACAGAGAAACCCTGTCTTGAAAAACAAAACAAAACAAAAAACTTGAAAACTGTAAAAAGAAAACATGAGGCTTTTATTACATGTAATTTTAAAAAAATAAAGACACGGTTTTAGAAACAGAGCAGCCATTAAGGCTTACAACCAAAAAGACAAACTCTCCTTTTTATAAAATCAATACAACAGCAAAAATTACCACATATCAGATTAAGTCGTCAATCAAAAATTTATGGTATCTATATTTAAAGAAATAAAGATGCCTCTCTTCATTATTTAAGTTTTCCTCAGGTCCTAAGTTTACTTCTTTTGTTTCCATTTTTAGTAAATTTTATTTAAATTAGAAACAATCTTATTTTAAATATCAATCCCAGTTCCCTCTCCCTCCCATCCTCAAATAACCCCCCTCACTCCCCATCCCATCCCCCATCCACTCCCAAGGAAAGGTAAAGCCTTCATGAGGAATCATCAAAATCTGTCAAGTCATTTGGGGCAGGGACTAGGCACCCCTCTGTATCTAGGGTAAGAGAGTATCCCTCCATGGGAAATGAGCTCTGTTCCTGCACTAGGAATGACACATCATGCTTGCACTGCCAGAGGCACAATAGGCTTCTAGCTGACACCACATTCAGAGGACCTGGTTTGGTCTGAAGTTGGTTTCCCAGCTGTCAGACTGGTTCCCATTTTCCGTAGAAACCACCATACTGATTTCCAAAGTGGCTGCCCAAGTTTGCACTGCCACCAGCAATGGAGAAGTGTTCTCCTTTCTCCACATCCTCTCCAGCATAAACTGTCATTGGTGTTTTTTATTTTAGCCATTCTGACAGGTTTAAGATGATATCTCAGAGTGGTTTTGATTTGCATTTCCCTGATGGCTAACGATGTTGAGCAATTTTTTATGTGTCTTTCAGTCATTTTAGATACCTCTAAGATTGAGAATTGTCTATTTAGCTCTGTACCCCACTTTTTAATTGGATTAGTTGGTGTTTTGGAGACTAGCTTCTTGAGTTCTTAATATATTTTGGAAATCAGCCCTCGGGCAGATGTGTGGTTGGTGAATATCTTTTCCCATTCTGTGGGCTGCCATTTTGTCTTGCTGACTGTGTCTTTTGCCTTACGGAAGCTTCTCAGTTTCAGAAGGTCAAATTTATTAATTGTCAATCTCAGTGTCTGTGCTACTGGTGTAATGTTCAGGAAGCGGTCGGTCTCCTGTACCAATTCGTTCCAGGGTACCTCCCATTTTCTCTTCTAAGAGGTTCAGTGTGGCTGGATTTACGTTGAGGTCTTTGACCCATTTGGACTTTAGTTTTGTGCATGGTGATAAACATGGATCTATCTGCAATCTTCTAACTGTCAGCATCCAGTTATGCCAGCATCATTTGCCAAAAATCAGATGTTCATAGATATGTGGGTTAATATCAGGGTCCTCAATTCAATTCCATTAGTCTGCCTATCTGTTTTTGTGCCATTACCAAGCTGTTTTCATTACTATAGCTCTATAGCAGAGCTTGAAGTCAGGGATGGTGAGGACTCCAGGAGTTCCTTTTTGTACAGGGTTGTTTTGGCTATCTGGGTTTTTTTTTTTGTTTTGTTTTTCCCTATAAAGTTGAGTGTTGTCCTTTCAAGGTCTGTGAAGAATTGTGCTGGGATGTTGACAGGAATTGCATTGAATATGTAGATTGCTTTTGGTAAGATTGCCATTTTTACTATGTTTATCATACCTATCCAAGAGCATGGGAGATCTTTCCATTTTCAGGTATCTTGAAATTTCTGGTGATTCATGCCTGTAATCCTAGCTACTGAGGGGCTAGGGCAGGATCAGTGCTTGAGAGTTCAGGGACAGCCTCCTGGGATTCAGCCTAAGTTAACTTCTAATTTCTTGTCCCACCCAGAAACATAAAATCCTTTCCTGCTGTGTTCTCTCACTTTTTTGCTGGTTCAGTACTGAGCCTGACTCAGTGACCATTGACCTACTTGACCAAGGACTTTCTTCCACAGCCTTTGAATTACTCGCCTAAAAGTTTTACTTTTCCAAGACAGGAACTCATTCTGTAGAAAAGTCTGATTTTTGTTGTATGAATGTGCATCTTTTGGGTAAATGCCTGAGAGTGGAATTGCTGGATATTGTGGTAGATTGATTCCCATTTTCCTGAGGAGTCACCATACTGATTTCCAAACTGGCTGTACCAGTTGGCACTACCACCAGCAGTGGAGGAGTGATCCCCTTTCTCTACATCCTCTCCAGCATAAACTGTCATTGGTGTTTTTTATTTTAGCCATTCTGACAGGAGTAAGAGGGTATCTCAGATTTGTTTTGATTTGCATTTCCCTGATGGCTAACGATGTTGAGCAATTTCTTATGTGTCTTTCAGTCATTTTAGATACCTCTATTGAGAACTGTCTATTTAGTTCTGTACCCCACTTTTTAATTGGATTAGTTGGTGTTTTGGAGACTAGCTTCTTGAGTTCTTAATATATTTTGGAAATCAACCATGTTCATAGCAGCATAATTTGCAATAGCCAGAATCTGGAAGCAACCTAAATGCCCCTCAACTGAAGAATGGATGGAGAAAATGTGGTACATTTACACAACGGAGTAATACTCAGCAGGAAAGGTAATAGAATCTTGAAATTTGCAGGCAAATAAATGGAACTAGAAGAAACCATGCTGAGTGAGTTAACCCAGTTGCAAAAAGACAAAAATGGTATGTATTAACTCATATATGGATTTTAGATCTAGAGCAAAGAAGTAGTAGCCTACAAACCACACTGCCAGAGAAGCTAGGAAATAAGGAGGACCCTTCAAGAGATGTGCATGGTCCCCCGGAGAAAGGGAAAGGGACAAGATCTCCTAAGCTAATGGGGATCATGGGGGGAGGGGAGAGGAAATTAGAAGAAAAAGAAGGGGAAAAGAGGAGGGGACAGGAGGACATGAGGAAACAGGAAGATCTAGTCAGGGGAAGAGTAGAGGAGACCAAGAAAAGAGATACTATCATAGAGGGAGCCATTATAGGTATAAAGAGAAACCTGGAACTAAGGAAATATCCAAAGATCTATAAGGTTGACCCCAACTAACAATCTAAGCAATAGTAGAGAGGCTACCTTAAATGCCCTTCTCCTATAATGAGATTGATGACTACCTTATATGCCATCCTAGTGCCTTCATTCAGTAGCTGATGGAAGCAGAAACAGACACCCACAGCTAAACATTGAGCTGAACTCTTGAATCCAGTTGCAGAGCTGGAGGAGTGATGAGCAAAGGGGTCAAGACCAGGCTGATGAAACCCACAGAAACAGCTGACCTGAACAATGGGTTGCTCATGGACCCCAGACTGATAGCTGGGAAACCGGCATAGGACTATTCCAGACCCCCTGAAGTAGGAAGTCAGTTTGGAGGTCTGGACAATATATGGGGCCACTGGTAGTAGATCAGTACTTACCCATAGTACACAAATGAACTTTGGAAGCCCTCTCCACATAAAGCAATGTTCTCTCAGCCTAGACACACTGGGGAGGGTCTAGGCCCTTTTTCAAAGGATATGACAGACTCTGAAGATCCCCCATGAAAGGCCTCACCCTCCCAGAAAGGGTACGCAGAAAGGGGTTGGGAGAGGGGGTGGGGGGACAGGGGAGTAGGGGAGGGAGAGGGAACTGGGATTGACATGTAAAGGAAGCTTGTTTCTAATTTAAAATTGGTCTAATTATAATTCTAAAAATAAAAAATACTATAAAAATGTTTAAGACAAATGAGAACTTACAAAATTATATCAAAGGTTTCAAGCAATACAGGTTCAAAATACTTTCAAAATAACCTGCTTTCTAGGTCTACATCATTGTGTCCTTTTCTATAATTAATCAAAAGCATGCCACATGTTTATTTTACAATGTTACATATGGGTTTGTATCAAAAGTATCAACAAGCCATCAGCCATTGTGGAGGCAGCTCATGTAGATGCTGCAGTAGACTGAGACCCAGTGAGCAAATCTAAAAGAGAGAGAGAGACGGGAGGAAGGAGGGAGGGAAGGAGGGAGGGAGGGAAGAAGGGAGAGAAAGAGAGTTTATAGCTATAGTGGATTGCTATCCCTTTAATAGCTCCATAAAAGGGAAGTGTACAGGTTTGAAGTAACATTTATTTGAACATTTTTCTATTGGCTAATGGGTGTGTCAACGGTTGGGATATTTTTCTAGGGAAAGCAACTATGTCCTACAATCTCTGAAAACTATACTTAGTGGCTTTGATTCATGGAATTTGTTCTGCTTGTTTTATGGAAACAGACACATCCTGGCAGCACCCCCACTACTTCTATTGGAATTTCTGTGGCAAGAAGAAAATGTATTCTTCTCTGTACTTTTCTGGAAGCACAACCTGAAACAAAGGTGATTTCCACTAAGCACGAACAAAATGGGGAAACTGAATTTCAAATACAAGATCAAACCAAATATCACAAGAGCACATTAAGGAATGGTTTAAATATTTTCACTGTGCTTTTTTGTTTTAGAGCACACTGTCTGAAAGTAAGCATGAGGCGAAAAATGCCCACTCTGCTATTACAATAGAATTCGTAAACATAAAGGTGTAACGATAACTCTTTCTGCCAGCCACCTGAGTTCTGCTGCCACGTTAGGACCCCCAATAACACACACAGTCTTATAATAGTTACAATGCTGCTGGCCAATGACTAGGATTTCTTATTTGCTTGCTCTGTCTTAAGTATCAACCATAACTATTAATCTATATATTTTATAAAAACTTATCTTATTGAGGATGCCAGGGGCATTCGTCCTCTCTTCCTGGG